TTTTTTCACTAATCGTATCCGTTACTTTGATCTACGACTCTTGTTCTCTATCTGGTTCGTTTGAGTTGGTAATCTCGGTATTGGTAGCGCAACGTAGCTCGGTGACAATGCCGATCTTGACGGTCACAGTCAGAATTTGTTTGCAACTCATCTGCGCCGTTAGTATGTACGGACGAAGGTCTTCAATAGTGTTTTTCCTATTCCATTGGTGAAGTTTAGACCGTAGACAATATGGAGAGATCTAGCGTAGGTTGTTCGCACTTAATGATTCCCAATAAAATCTGAACTTTCGTTTCTGCATATGTGCGATCTTTAATTCTGTCAAAGAGCCAGCAGTCAACACCTCACAGTCATCCGACCTATTCGGTACCCCAGTCAAACCCAAGTCCGTTTTACAATGCTTCTTTTTTTGTGTCTCATGGAAATATTGTGATTATATTACGAAAAGCCACTTGCCAGCCTACTCGGTGATTTCTGAGGATACTTAACCTCGACGGTCTGCGTTGTGGGTATCTATTTTTAACTTGAAGACTGAACTGATAAAGAATACCACTCTTGCGCGATAACATGGGGTTTTAATTGTTTAAAGATTCCGGGGCCTAGGTAAACATAAAAGCGATGAAAGAAATTTGATTTAAACAAATAAACCCAGTGTGTGGCATAAACGTTGCTAAATTATCCAGTGCAGCACAAATGTAGCACGGCCGAATTTTGAAGGCTCCGCCTTCAAGACTAAGCGAGGTAACACAGAAATTAGGGCCATCTCAAGCATCAGAGTAACGACTACAAATCAACCTTCAAAGTTTTACAAATGGTGTGTGTGTGTGCTTAAAAAAGGACATTTCCCTCAGATATATATAAAGTCTGCTGATGATGTCACCATGGGTTGCAAATTCCTTTTTGTATTCCGTTTAACACAGCTTCAAACCAATTTATCTGCCTTAAGATTATGGTCTTCGTATTCGTAATTATCTACCAATGCGTATAAAGTTTAAGATCTCACCTTCTCACTAACTAAAGGAGAACGGTTAAATTCTTTTGAAAGAAATTGATCTGTTTTTTATGTTGACAACTGGTATTTTCTCTGCAACACTATCAGCCGAGATCTCACATGGATTTCACATTTAAACTTCACTTTTAAAATGATTTAACGATTGTGTTTTTATTTCCTACTTGGGATCTTTAAAAGTTCCACTGTATTTACTCTCGATTTGTATATTCTTGTGTTGTCACTCGTCTCCTTTACTGCTCCCCAGTTTTATTTACGGGTCTTGGGAGTTATAGACTTCGCAATTCTACGCCAGTCCATTAAAACTATTTCACGTCCAAGCGGTATTCCCTACTTACACTTGCTCAACTTTATCGGTGACAAACATTCTACCGCTTGTGAAAACTTCTGCAACAATATTCTGTCAGGCATCACTCACCCATTGCACACAGAACTTAAACAATTTGTATCCACTTTTGTAACTAGGTATCGTTATAAGCTTGTGTATACTCGTACTACTGCCCATCGTTTGTCCGTTATCCCATATCTTTCGAGATTTCCGGCAGAGGAAGCATAAGTTACAGATAACTTTTTAAAGTTCCTAGGTGGATGATATCCATTTTCACATTTTTACGCCACCTTCATCTTGAATTTACGATATTGTACTTAGCTTTCTGTCTGTGACTGCATACGATGATGAATGACCCTGGCGTGCAAGGAACTGAAAGTTTACCCATTAGGATGAATAAAGCCATTTGTGACTGGTAATCCCATGACCTTGTGTGGTTCACCATTCCGATAGATATCATGCCTAATTACTGTAAGGTCTAGTAAGATTTCCGGATTGGTAGGTGCCGGACGGAACAAGATCATTAGCCTTTACTGAGCTGATGATAAGGAAATCCTTTCCACACCGAACACGATTTGGGCTCATCGTCGCTTTCTTGTAAATCGCTTCTACTCTAGTACCTCAACTAACAGGCGTAACTAGTCGGAAACCAGAAATCACTTACGTGCAGATTACACGTGCTTGTGTGTTCATGTAACTTAGTTTAACCCCACAGAACTTCTAGCGACTAGGTGTCATTAACTGCTTCGTATGTTTGTCTGTCTGGCTACCTTGTTCCCAGTTGTGTTAAAACTAGCCGATGGACTATCTGCCTGCCTCTAGTCATCTATACTAATCAAACCACATCGTGCTTAACGACTGTAGTGATAACTTTCAGATTTTTGTTTATTGCTCACGGATGTGATACTCATTGATCTATTCCAATTCGGTGTGGTACGGCTGGTATCTCGACTGTCTATCCTGTTGTGCGTGCATGCTTGTTGTTCGGGTCACGTGGGTTTTTTCGGTTGCGTGATAAGCATGTTCATGTGTCTTGCTCTGTCTTCACTGACCCTTGTACCTGACGTTTACGTGCATGTGTGTATGTATGTGGGAATAGGTTTGATATAATCTCCGTTGTACTTCACTTTTCTTTTCTAATCATTGGTGGAAACGACATCG